TTTTTTTTTCTTGTCTTTAGACACCTGGTCTTAAACGTAAAACACGTTATAGTGAACATCCACTAATAGAAAGTTCAGTTGGTTGAGTTTTTGATTCATGTGGTCATCCAACTACAAAACAAAGAAGCAATACAGTGACTAGTACTACGTAAGATTTTTCAAAATTCTTTGCATTCATTTCAAGCAAACACTTTCAGAAAGATTTCAGATGGGAATGAAAAGGTTAGAAATACAGTATTTTTGACCTTTTTTTCTTAATGACTCTTTGATTTGTTCTACTACATATTTCAAAATATAATGTGCCCCACTGTTTTTTTTTTGAAAAACTTTTGATAGGAACATCATAGAAATCTTCGGTTTTCACCATTCAAGAGAGAAGATCCGGAACCTTCGAAAATCCTCGCCAAGAACTTATCCAATTAGCCAATGAAATATTGATATTTAAAAAACAGTAGAGCATACCTTACTTTGAAATGGATAGTAGTTATTATTGTTAAGAAAAGAAGTCAAAAATACTGCGTTTCTAAACGTTTTGCTTTCACTTTACTTATTACAGATAATAAGATCATTTTTCTTATCGTTCAATATGGGTAAGATAAATGGATATAGTAAAAAATAACTTGTGTTGCTTTATCATTGTTTTTTGACGAATTTTCTTATATTTTTTGTTCCTAATACAAACAATTAAATGTTAATTATTATTAGTATAAAAATGAGTCTTTTTTTCTTATTTAGAACTCGACAACAAGATTTCTATGATCAATATTCATCATCATACAATGATTCACATTATTGACATGGAAATAATTCAAATTCATATGATTTTTATGGTTCAACACCGGTGAAAATTCCTCAATTTCGACATCCATCTCATATACTTTTACAACAAAATGGTTTTACTCAACAAGTTTATCTTAAATATAGACAAGAATGTCTTGGTGGTAAAAAAAAACGTTGATTGTAGAGAAAAAGAAAGATTAGTAGTGCAGTACATATTTACAATATTTCGAGAGAAACAAGCTACTGGTAAAAAAAGGATTGAAATTATGTTGCATTGAACGGAAAAAAAAGCTGAGTCTTTTAATGACTAAAGAAGAGTCGAATATATCGAGAAACAATAGCGAAAACTACTCTCCGGTAAAAATCATAGTCTAGAAAGACTTATATTCTTATTTACATGGCTTTGATTTTAGTAATTTAATAACATAATTTATCGTTTACCATATTTTTATCGTATAATCATAAATTTGAAAAGCAATAAAATAATCTTCAATGATTAAAAACACTCGGCAAACTTTATTATTTCATGGAAAATATTTATAATCTAAAATTATGTTGATTTATAAATAGAATACATTTGTTTTCTTATGATCTAATTTCTAAAGCATGCTAAACTTGGTCCTGATCAATCAATGGAAATGAACATACACTATCGTGTTTAATCATTTTTCTTATGTGAAAATTTTAATCGTCATATGTATAATGAATTTAAACAATATGCTGTTGAAGATGCTAAAACTGATCATCGGTATATAAATGAATTGTTTTTATGAAAAATAATAAGAAAACAATTGAATATTATTATTTATGTATAGATATGGTGTTGAATGTCTATTTCGATTTTATACGTATGGTCTAGAAAAACATTTTCGTCAACATGTATTTGAAGATTTTCAACAAGAAACTCTTTGTGATCATGAAGCTGGTAATAAAATAGATTACAAAAAAAATAAAGTGTCAATAAGAAAATATTTTTTCTATTTAGATCAATTGTGTGGTTTAGAAAACTTCTGGGCATTTTTAAAATATTCTCGACAAAAACCAAAAATTAATTCAAAACTTGAAGAAATTTTAAAAAACTATAAAAATCGTGAAGACTTTCGTGTTGATGGTGCATCATTTCCACGACAATTTTTTTCAACAAAATCAAGAATTATAGTAATTGAAAAACATTTTTTTTTATATGATATACATAATTTCTTTATAGACTGTTTCAGCACTCGAAGCAAGTGCTACTGCAGTAGCAAAGAACAGTGATACATAAAATTCATTAAAACCCAATGGTGAACATTTTCTGACACGTAATAATCGTGGTCAGGCTCGACAATCGAATAGATGAACAACATCTGAACGATGCTAAACTTTATACACGTTTTGTTTTTCCTTGATTTTGTCTAAAAAAAATGGTGCTCATATTTTTTCAAGTGGATTTCGATTTATTTAAAAGTATGCGTGTATTTTTTTTGCTTTCAAAGTTTGTTGTTATTTAATCTATTTCTATGTATATATTACATTGGTTTGTTATTGTAGTAGATAGATAGATTAAATAGTGACGCATTTTCTTTTTCTATCGATAGAGATATGAAGAATTTTCATGTGGTTTCGTTTTGTTTCTGGAACTATTTGCTAATAAAAACAAAACAACTAAACAAATTTAATTTGATTATAATTATGCATGTTTTTCTTTATGAAGAAAAAAAAGACAATGGCTTCATCTCGTTTATTTAATAATATTGGTAAGATATTGAGATAATATTTTATTTCGATAGAAGAATTTAGTGTTTTAGGAAGAATTGGTATTGGTTTAGGTATTGGTGGTGGTGTGATTAATTCTAAGCTTTATAATAGTAAATATAAAAAGATTTTAAAAACAAATTGTTTTCTTTAAATACAAATATATTCTAGTTGATGGTGGTCATCGAGCTGTTATTTTTGATCGTTTTCAACGTGTTAAACTAGATGTTATTGAAGAAGGAACTCATTTTATGATTTCATGGCTTCATAGACCAATTATATTTGATGTTCGTACACGACCACGATCTGTTCCATCAATAACAGGAACAAAAGATATAAAAGCTAGAGAAAAACAGTCGACTTCAGAAGATTGGTAAGCATAGGAAACTTCAGTACCGAAAATGTAAACTCGCGAAAAACTGAAGGTAAATACAATGCTTATTGAACTATCAATGAATGTATATGGCTGATGTATCTTAAAAATTTTGCGGCTATCAATGGTGACTCGCCTGAGGTCTCCATTATTTCCTCGTCGTATAAATGAAAAAAGTATGAATTATATTTTATTATTTATTATTTCAGATTTACAAACAATTAATATAACATTACGTATTCTTTATCGAGCAAGAGCTGAACTTTTACCAAAAAGTTTTACAAATTTAGGTTTAGATTATGAAGAACGTGTGTTACCATCAATTACTAATGAAATTTCAAAATCTGTTGTAGTAAGTCTCAGATATTTTGTTTTTGTTACTATGAATAATTAAATTGGTTATTAGGCTCAATTTGATGCTATTTAATTGATTATACAACGTACACTTATTTCCCAACGTGTTAGTGAATTAGTCACAGAATGTGCTGCTCAATTTGGTTTATTACTTGATGATATTTCAATTGTCAGATGCAACAAAAAAAAGTCTCGAGTTGATTATATATATAAATATTTTAAAAATTAGACGCATTTAAGTTTTGGACCTGAATTTACAAGCGCTGTTGAATTAAAACAAGTTGCACAACAAGATATTGAAAAACAACGATTTTTAGTCAAAAAAATAAATGAATAATAATAAAATTTGTATGATTTTTTTGATAAAAAAACAACAGGCTGAACAAAGTCGTCAAGCAAATGTTATTGCAGCAGAAGGTGTTGCTCGTACAGCTAATTTGATTGGCAAAGCTTTAGATGAAGCTGGTGATGATAAATTTTCGAATGTCTTTCATTATCTTGTCTTACTTTTGTTTTAATATTCAGGTTAGGTTTTTTGTTCGATTAAAAAAAAAAGAAGAGCAGATCAAAAATTCTCTAGATGACATTAAAGTTTCGAATACAATTGAAATGATGAATTTCGATAATCTCTTTCGACATTTTATATTAACTCAATCATTTGTACATGGTTAGGCAAATTCATTTCATTCACAAGAAATTTTTACCTATCGACGTGAAAAAATTGATGTAAGAGGCGCATGTTTAAAACTTCCCAGGCTAGCAAAAAATAAGGGGTGACGCCCGACATGACTAGTCTAAATTGTCCGTAGTACTCGTCTGGACTAGTCTAAAATGTCTGCACTGCCGTTTGGACTAGTCTGAAATGATTTGCAGCTAGTCAGGCCTAGTCGTCTTCACAAGCAACGTCTTGCATCTAAAATAGACTAGTCCAAAACATGCTCTAATCTTGTCATGGCTAGTCCATTTTGTATGTGCACACTGTCCAGACGCGCCAACTTGAAGGCAAAAGCTAGAAGAAACGGAGGCGACAGGTGGATTCGAACATTCTAGCCGACAATATTGGATACCTGACTAGTCTAAACTATTTTCAATAGATAACGCGGACTAGTATGAAGAGTCATCTATATTGGTGATGACTAGTCGTTTTCGAGAAAGTAATGCCAATTCTGGTCCAGGCTAGTCTATCCTTCCAAACAGTCTTTATTGCTTGGACTTAATCATTCGGACAATTCGTTTAGAGTAGTTTGTATTGGGACTAGAACGATGTATTTAACGAGAGTTGGCTATTTATGTCCTTTTAAATTTTTACATTGTAAT